TTAGGGTAATGCTAACCAAACAAGTGAAAGACCTATATCGCAAGAACTTTGAGTCTTTAGAGAAAGAAATTAAAGAAGACATCAGAAAATGGAAAGATCTCCCATGCTCTTGGATAGGTAGGATCAAGGTAGTAAAAATGGCAATCCTGCCAAAAGCAATCTACAGATTCAATGCAATCCATTAAAATCCCAGCACAATTCTTCACAGACCTTGAAAGAACAATAATCAATTTTGTATGGAAAAACAAAAGACCCAGGATAGCAAAAACAACCTTATTCAACAAAGCAACATCTGGAGACATTGCTATCCCTGACTTTAAGCTCTATTATAGAGCTGCAGTCCTGGAAACAGCTTGGTATTGGAACAAAAGTAGACAGGTAGACCAATGGAATCTAATTGAACACCCTAATATTAACCCATACATGTATGAACATCTGATCTTAGACAAAGAATCTAAAAATATACAATGGAAAAAGGAAAGCATTTTCAACAAATGGTGCTGGCATAACTGGGTGCTGGCATGTAGAAGAATGCAGATAGATCCATGTTTATCGCCATGCACAAAACTTAAGTCCAAATGGATCAAAGACCTCAACATAAATCCAGCCACACTGAACCTGTTAGAAGAGAAAGTGGGAAGCACCCTTGAACGAACTGGTACAGGAGACAGCTTCCTGAACATGACTCCAGTAGCACAGACACTAAGATTGACCTGAAACTAAGAAGCTTCTGTAAGGCAAAGGACACAGTCAGCAAGACAAAACAAACAGCACCCCACAAAATGAGAAAAGGTATTCACCAACTCCACATCTGACAGAGGGATGATCTCCAAAATGTACAGAGAACTCAAGAAGCAAGTCTCCAAAACACCAAAGGATCCAATCAGAAAAATGGGGTACAGAACTAAATAGAAGAGACTAAAATGGCTGAGAGACACTTGAGAAAGTGCTCAACATCCCTAGTCATCCAGGAAATGCAAATCAAAACAACTCTGATATACCCTCTTACTCCTGTCAGAATGGCTAAAATCAAAAACTCCAATGACAGTTTATGCTGGAGAGAATGTGAAGAAAGGGGAACACTCCTTCACTGTTGGTGGAAGTGCCGACTTGTACAGCCACTTTGGAAATCAGTATGGAGATTCCTCAGGAAAATGATAATCAGTCTACTACAAGACCCAGCAATTCCACTGTTAGGCATATCCCCAAAAGATGCACATTCATACAACAAGGACATCTGTTCAACCATGTTCATAGCAGGATTATTTGTAATAGCTAGAACCTGGAAGCAACCTAGATGCCCCTCAACTGGAGTGGATAGAGAAATTGTGGTACATTTACACAATGGAGTACTATTCAGCGGAAAAAAAACAATGGAATCTTGAAATTTGCAGGCAAATGGATGGCACTAGAAGAAACCATCCTGAGTGAGGTAACCCAGTCACCAAAAGACAAACCTGGTATGTACTCACTCATTTGTGGATTTTAGACATGAATCAGGGAAGTGCCAGCCTACAATCCCACTGCCAGAGAGTCTAGGAAACAGAACCTTCATCCAACGACTGATAAAAGCAGAGGCAGATACCCACAGATAAACACTGAACTGAACTCCTGGAATCCAGTGTCAGAAAGAGAGAACTGATGGTTTAACCCACAGAAACAGTTGACCTGAACAAGGGGAAGCTCTTGGACTCCAGATTGATGGCTGTGTGGAAAGCATGGGACTGACCCAGACCCCCTGAATGTGGGTGTCAGTGAGGAGGCCTAGGGGACCTTGGGTAGTATTTATCCCTGGCGTACAAATAGACTTTGAGTGCCCACACCACAGCATGGGAGGCTCTCTCAGCCGGGATTCTTGGGGGAGGGCCTAGACCCTGCCCTGGATGAAATGATAGTTACTAGAGATCCACCATGGAATGCCTCACCCTCCTTGGGGATTGGAGTGGAGATTGGGTGAGGGCCTGGGGGGCCTGGTGGGAAGGGCGGGGGGGAGGGAGACGGAGCTGCGATTGACATGTGAAACATGATTGTTTCTAACCTAAACAAAAATAATAATAAAAAATCCTCCAAGAGAAACTTGATTTCACTGGATTCTTTTCATCTCACTGCAGAGGATGGAGTCTGGGGGAGGAGAACAGATGATACTGGGACATCCTTGGAAACCTGCTCAAGAGTCAGGCTGCCCAGGTCTGGCTGGTAGCTGCCCTGCTTGGTGGACTGAAGACATTGGCTGATTTCTCATTTCACCTCAGTGTCGGTTTCCACTGCCTCCTCAGTATGCCACGATGACGCTATAATACTGCCTAGTGTGTGAGCAGATAGAAATCATTTATGTGATTCTGGGGCAGATGGTAAGTGCTCTATGTAAATTAAAATGCAAATTCCTTCCAAGCTTTTTTCCTTTGGCTTTGGAAATATGGAAAGGGGGAATTTGAATTGTTGAAAGTTTGAGCTGGAAAAAACATGCTTGGTAGCCCTTTTCAAACATTATGTACGGAAAGGCGAAGATTTAAAGTTGATAAAAAGTGGCCCTCTTCATTCCTTCCCCCACTCTTGGAATATTTGCCCACCCACACCATTCACTCAGATCGTCCAATGATCAAGGGAGAAAAAGACTGAGTATCTTATTTTTTACTGATTCAGTCGAACAATTGCTCTTTGTGAATCCAAATAAACACACAATACATTAAGGGCTTCAAACTCTATTTTATTTTTCTTCTCTGGGTCACCATACTTGGAATCAGTAGACAATCGGATGAATAGGCTGTGGGGGAGCAGTGTGGGGAATGCCTAGCCTTTTGTTGCCTGAAATAATAGCATATCAAGAGGCTTATCCTACTTGGGTAAAAAGCACAATGGAATATTTTAATAGGCAATTTAACAAAAGAAAAGCGATTCACATCCCCAATGCAGTTCATTTTCTGTCTCTCTGGTATCATCCATCAGCAGGGAGACTAGAGAATTTGGCACAAAGGGGCAGAACGGTGGCTTGGTGGTCCTGCAGCGGGTAGAACTCCCGAGTGGCCAGGGGAGGAAGGTCTCTGGCATCCTGTGAGATGGCTGGGATGAGAGTGCTGAGCAGAGATGGGGGCTGGGGATGGTGGTGGTTCCTGATGATCTGGAGAAAGAAGCACAGTTGGTGGCTGACTTCCGGCTCAGGGCTTGAGATTTGAAGACTGACCAGAAGGTGTTGAGGAAGCATCTGGGGAAGGGGATGTCAAGGACTCCCAGTAGGACTTGCTTGAGGTCATGGTCGAGACTGCAGTGATTGGTTTGGCCTGGTTTATATTTTTCCTAGGCCACTTGCAGCCCTTGGTACAGGTGCAGAGCAAAGGGAGTCGATTTTAACTGAAAAAAAAAAAAAAGGTCTGGGTTTGCCAGGTAGGTTGGGCAAGGTGAGAAGTGAGAAGGAGCAAGGACAAGCATGGGCCAGGAATCTAAACCATGCTAGGACAAGTCAGTGGGGTCATGATGTCAGGGGAAGATGAAGTACAATAAAGAAGGGTAGGATCCAGGGATCATAATTCCCTGTGGAAGATAATTTGGAAGTGAGATTTCAGAGGACCTACAATGACTGCAGGGTCTGGGGTGAAGCCCTGGGAGGGAATGGCTGAAGAGGGATAGAAGATAAGCTTATTGGAGGTGAGACTGGGAACAGAATGAGCAGTCAGCAATGCAGTTCTTAAAGTCACTAATAATAAAGATGAAAGTGGGCTGGAGACAGTGATGCTGAGCTAAGGAATGACTGGTCCAGCATGAAAGGTTCAACCTTGGGATGTGGTAAAGAGGGTGATGGATGGTGCAATTGGATAGCAGGAGATCCAAGCTTTATGAGGAAGAAAGAAGATGGTCTGATGTGCAGGAAGGAATACTAGGCCATCTCTCAAGCTGGTGGGTTGGAGAGAACCCTATAGCCTCACTTGAAGGATTTTCTCAGGAGAGCGCTGGGGCCTCTTCAAATGGCTGCTTTGTAACTGTCATAGGATAGACTTAGTGCATTGGGCATAATAAGAACACCATCAAAATGAGCAGTGAATACACACATTACTAGAGAGGGCCTTCTAGCAATGCTGTGCTGGTTTGTATGATCATGTTTAAGGGTAGTTCAAGTGACTACACCTATGGAAGTTTTGTTTTGAGCATTAGCTTCTTGGAGATTACATCTTTAAGAGTATAGACCTGAATTTGACTCTCATTGTCATTTAGCTGTTTATGCCCTGTGTCAAATGATTTGAGCTTCCTGACCTCTCAATCAGTAAGATGAGAATAACAGTCCCCAGGTGAAGATTCCTTGGGGACTGCATGATCTTTAGTCATGCACTTGGAGGAGTGACACGCAGAAACTGATCACTGTAATCTCTCTGGTGTGTTCTCTGTTGGATTATTTCTTTTTACAATTTCGTTTATGTAATGCACATGGTTGTTTTGCCTGCATGATTGTTTGTGCATGATTCTTGTGTAGAGCCTGCAGAGCCCAGAGGAGGGTTTTGGTTCCCTGGTTGTGAGTCATTTTGTGGGTGCTGAGAATTGAACTCTGGTCTTCTTAAAGAATAGTCAGTGCTCTTAATCCCAGCCCCTGCTTCTTCCCCAGCCTATTTGCATTATTTCTTGTGGCTTGACTGTGTATTGAAATAATCTGATTCCATTTTATTATTGAGACAAGGTTTTGCTCTGTAACCCAGTCTGTCTCCAATTGAGAGTCTCCTGTCTCAGCCTTTGGAGGGCAGGGATAATAGACCTGCACCACTGTGTTTAAGTTCTTGCCCCAGTTTTGAAAATCACACCCACAGGGATTCTGGTGAACTTGATCTGGGGTGTATGGCCTGGGTTTTTTTTAACTTAATATGGGGTGTGGCCTGGGTGTTTTTACATGATCCTAAAGATCATTTTGACATGTAATGAGTTTCAGGCAGGTCCTGAGCCTCAGGTGTAGCCCGCAGCATTGGCATCAGCTGGGATCTTGTTAAAATGCAAAAGCTCCCTGATGTAGCTCCAGGACTTGGGGCCATCACTGCATATTTTAAGTAGTTCTCCTAGAGGTTGTGGTTTATAGCAGATTTGAAACAATCAACAGAGGGTGAGAAGTTCAGAGCTGTCATCGTGGCCTTTGGTGTCTCTTCCCTTGGACCAGGTAGGTGCCTCACATCCCTTCTCCCTACTTTTTTTGGTCCCCCAAAGCACTGCACTAATTGAGCTACATGCCTAGCCTAATTCCAGTTGTCTTTTTGGTTGAAAAGGGTCATCCCTGTAGTCGCAACACTCAGAAGGCAGAGTTCTAGGTCAGACTGGGCTATAAGGTATGTTTTAGTGCAACCTGGATTAGAGTGAGACCCTGCTTCAAAAACAAATTCTATTGCATACATGTACTGTATTTTCTTGACCCATTCATCTGTTGGTTAACATCTAGGCTGGTTCCATTTCTTGCCTCTTTATTGTGAGCAGGACAGGGATTAAAAACAGGCGTGCAAGCTTCTCTGCGATGTGCTGACTTAAAGTCAATGTGTATATACGCAGGAGAGCCATAGCTGGGTCATACCATAGTTCTGTTTTTAACTTCTGAGAAACTTGTATACCTTCATGCTTTTCTAGTTTCAGTGTGTGTGTGTGTGTGTGTGTGTGTGTGTGTGCGCATGTACCCTGAATATTGTGTGGTAGCTCTGCTTTTTTGCTCTCATTTTTAAGATATGTTACGGAGTGGCTCTTACCTGGACACATCTATTTAGCTCTAAAAGCCTTTTGTGCTTGAATGCAGATTTCTTTGTTTATTCGAGTTATATTCTCTAATTTATTGAATAATACATCCTCTCTGCTTCTACTTCTTAGCTCGGCTCCTTCTTCCTTTTCAATTCTTTGCTTTTGTCTTTCATTTGGACCTCACAATTCTTGGACATTGTAGTTATGTTTATTTAGTTTTATTCACCAGAGCTTGAGGGTAGTATTTTCTCAATCTTATCCTCTATCCCTGGTACTCTTTCTCCTGTTTGTGTCTACTGATTATGATATGGTGTTTTTATTTGATTTAGGGTTTTTTTTTCTAATACTTAAAAAATTTTCACATTTGGGCTGATAATGCTCCTATCGACAGCCAAATACCATCTAACAGAAACCCCAACACCAGGAGCGAGAGAAGCCCTCTTTTTTAGTTGTTGGTAAGGGTCATCCAAGAGATGCTTAAAACATTACAGATTATTGCTGTCGCGCCCCCCCCCCCCGCCCCAACCCAGGTGGAAGGTAACTCCTTATTGCCAAACACACCATGCACTTAGACTGCTGGGCTGAAACTAATCTGAAAACCACCTCTCTGAGAATTAGTTTCCATGGTACCAGAAGGCACATTTGAGCTCCCATAGGAGGGAAGCAACATTCTCCCCAGCTATGATACCTATGAACAGCAGCAAAGACCAGCATACATACTTAGCTTTGCAATCTTTGGGCTGGGCTGGGTTTCTCACCTTCTTGTGACTCTGAAGGTTATACTCCCAACGGTGGTTAATATTCCAGCTGGAAGTTTTTCCTCAAGTGTTTTGGGAACAACTGCAGGCTGAGCTCTGTTGGAGGGCCTGTCTTCCTACTTTGAAGATCTAACTACTAATCCTGCTGTGGGAATGTACTTCTAGATTCAGTGAATGGTAGACAGGTGTGTTCAGAGGTTGTCCCACACACTTACCTCAGGCTCAGGAATACTGAACTTCAGGGTTATTCATTAGTTGATGACATTTACTCCTGGGCATCAAGGATGGGGTCACCATCCCCTATGCATTTGATTGCCAGAGCAGAAACTCACACACCAGGGCTTGTTAACATCTACACAACCTCTCACTTTGGAGTTGTGGGGGATTAAATTCAGGCTCCCTGAATCATGGTTATTCCTATTCACTGTCCCCAGGGCATTTCAGTTTAAACAATAGGTTTATTGCTTATCCCTAGCAAGAAAGCACCTTGCCATTGCCTTCTGAGTCATAGAAAGTGACAAAATTGGGATCCCTTCCCACTGCTGATATGTCCATCAGAGGAATCATGGTTTCACACACACACAAAAACCTGGTTTGAGGCTTGTGATAGCTTGTCTGCAGGGTAGGACTCTATCTTGTCACAGGGCTGCCTGACTTTCCTTTTGATGAGCATCCTCCTTCCAACCAGGGACTGTGTGGCTGGAGCTGCCTTCTGTATGAATTATTTCTTTCTGGTGTATCACCCATCATTTCTTGACAACTTTCAGCTGTTCTTTTAGTGTCTTCACAAATTTCTAAATCCCGTCATGCTCTCTTTGAAACAATCTACTCTTTCTCATACTGATTTCTTCATTGGGTCTCACAGGAGCACAGTCTGCCCTCTCACCCAGAATTGGGCAAATGATATTTGTTGCTGACAATTATTAAGCTTCATTTCCTGCTATGGAAATACTGAATTATCTTAGCCAATATGAGAAAATGAATGCAGATTCTGGGAACCTTTGGGAGGTGTTGGGGCATAGTGTCTTTCCACAGATATAGACCCCTTATTGATGGCCCCTTCCAGGCAGCACAGAACACTCCTGCTCCACTATTTCCAGGATCACTCCCTTCCTGGGACTGGAGAGATGGATCAGCAGCTAAGAGCACTTGTTATTCCAGCTCCAGGGACACCTTCTTCTAGCCCCCCCCCTCTCTTTCTCTCTCTCACACACACACACACACTGAGCAGACAGATACACATGCTAACAGAAGCACTTACTGCCACCCGTGCTTTCTCATGGCCCCACCAATGCTGATGCTGATGTTGCCTTGAACTAGTCCTAAATCTTCATGGAATATAATATCTCAGAGAGGCCCAAGTCCGTTTTAATTGAATTATCTCATTAAGTGGCAGCCTTCAGGAATAGCCTGTAGGATCTTAGCTCTGAATAAATTGCTTTAAAAAAACTCAAGCACTGTGTATTGTGGCCTAATCCTCAAGGGATATATAAATGGAATTTCTTTCCAGTTCCTTTTTATTTTCCTATATTAGTTGGTAAACATACTTTTATAGCCTCTGTCTTTCCTCCACTAACACTTTTTAGTTGCCTTAAAAAGAAAATAAAAGTATGATAAGACCTTGAAAATTTTATTCGTTCTAAATTTTACTTTTTTTGTTTTTTTGGTTGGAAAGGATTATACCATCATCTTAACTAACCCTTCATGGGGCTTACCTGGTGTGAGCTTAGCTCTAGAGAAGGTGAAATTCTGGCTAAGATTACAGAACTTCACCATCATACAGCATAACTTGGAAAAGTCTTTTCATATCTAGACAGGAGTTGAGAACTAAACAGATATGTGTCATGGAAAGGTTCAAGCGAGCAGAGTGGGTAATGGTAAAGGTGGAGTTCTGTGCTCCAATTACGATAGTATTAAGGGAAGTGCTGGGTAGTGTGAAGGGAGGTGCTGTGTACTCCAACTAGGGTACAGCTGGTAGAAGGAAAGACTGGAGCCTGGTGATAGCCAAAAGGAGGATTTGGAACCCAGGAAGAGATTTCACACAATTCTGACAACTTGTCAAACTATCTTATAGAAGAGACTAGAATGAAGATAATGATGGGTCAATGATGGGCAGAACCATATGCTGACAGTAGCACAAAATTATGCATACCTCTTGCCCTGTATTTATTTTTTCCTTTTTTTAAAAATTTAAATTAGAAACAAGCTTGTTTTACATGTCAATCTCAGTTCCCTCTCCCTCCCCTCCTCCCCAGCCCCCCACTAGCCCCCTATCCCATCCTCTTTCTGCTCCCCAGGGAGGGTGAGGCCTTCCATGGGGGATCTTCAAAGTGTCATGTCATTTGGAGCAGGGTCTAGGCCCTCCTCTGTGTGTCTAGGTTGAGAGAGTATCCTTCTCTGTGAAATGGGCTCCCAAAGTCCATTCATTTACTGGGGATAAATACTGATCCACTACCAGAGGGCTCATAAATTGTCCAGGCCTCCTAACTGACACTCACATTCAGGGGGGTCTGGATCGGTCCTATGCTGGTTTCTCAGCTGTCAGTCTGGGATCCATGAGCTCAATTGTTTTTGTTGGTTTCTCCAGCCTGGCCTTGACCCCTTTGTTCATAACTCCTCCCTCTCTGCAACTGGATTCCAGGAGTTTGGTTCAGTGTTCAGCTGTGGGTATCTGCTTTTGCTTCTATCAGCTACTGGATGAAGGCTCTAGGATGGCATGTAAGGTAGTTATCAATCTCATTATCAAGGAAGGGGAAGGCCATTTAAGGTAGCCTTTCCACTATTGCTTAGATTGTTAGTTTGTGTCGTCCTTGTAGATCTCTGGACATTTCCCTAGTGCCACATTTCTCTTTAGACCTATAATGGCTCCCTCTATTATGGTATCTCTTTTCTTGCTCTCCTCTACTCTTTCCCTGACTCAATCTTCCTGCTGTCTCATGTCCTCCTCTCCCCTCCTCTTCTCCCCTTCTTTTTCTCCTAACTTCCTCCCCTTTCCCCTCATGCTCCCAATTATCTCAGGAGATCTTGTTCCTTTCCCCTTCTCTGGGGGACCATATATTAGTGTGATTTGTGTCATGGCTTGTATGCTATTGATTATGAGTTAGCTTTTGGCCTTGTAGGGAGAAGCCCCACATGTCGTGCATCCAAGGGCATATCTGATTGTTTTGAAAAGTAGAAGGTCGAGTATCAATATATCAGGTCCATCAAACAAACAGAATGGAAACAATACTCTCTGACCTTTTGATGAGATCTCATACAGAATGATCTTAAATGGTTAAAAATGCAGGAGATCAACAACAACACTAAAAGTAACTCTGGGAATATTAGCATCCATTATTTCATTTGACTTTCAAGCTGTATATCAACATCTATTATACAGTTACAGTGTAGTAGATTTTAGTACATTGATAGTTGGATAGGAATCATCTGACTTGAGTGAGTAAACAGATTCAGGCATTGCTGTGTATCAAACTAGTTTCATTTCATCAAGGACTCTTTCCCCATCATTCTCTAGTTTGACTAGGTAGCTCCTCTGCTGCTTTTGTCTAGATTCATTCATGTAGATGCCAGGGAGCTGTTGGGTTGGAGAAGCCAGACAACATTCATGCCAACTTCAGTTGACACTAAATATGGTCTGTGGCTACCTTGCTTCTGGATCACGTGGCTTCCTATCTTCCAG